TCACCCCAATGTCGTTCAGCTACTCATTGAGCACAGCGCCAGCGCATCCCTCCAGAGGACACCGGGTGAGGCCCCAAACACCGATGCCCGTCTGCCGTCCCAGCAGTCGGACCGCAAAGATGAAACCATGGCCATAGTCTCCTAATAAATGTTCCATTATAGAGTTATAATTTGAATATGTGTTTGCGTTTAAAGTTAAGGCTCTTTAGAGAAGCAGTCTGATTTATGGTGCGCTTCACTTGTTCAACGAATATAGCTCCCTCAAAAAAGATCGGATTCCTTATCCCTCTTCTCAGAAGACGTAGTTTAGCAACTGGAAACCTTCTACAAGAGGGATTTTTTTAATGTCAGAAATGGGTGGGCGAGTAATTCTTTTCAGGTCCCCCAAATTGGGACTGCACACCAAACCGGGCCCTCACTGGTCAAATGCCTGGGCAACCCTCTCCGGAACACGTCGGTGGGACTTGTACGTGGTAGAACTGAACTTGCGGACATGTATTCTCTGAGCCCGAGCGTTCACGGCTGCTTCTATGAGCCTGTTTTTTTTTGTCTGGCCATCCTTGCTCGGATTACGGCGGAAACTCGAGTAATTTGAGCCAGATTACAGGGCCAGATTATAGTATGAAAGCACTATTTATGAGAAAAGAGATCTCTGCCAGAATGTATGCGCGAGAGGCCCAGACAGGCACATCCCCCCGAAAAATCGGCCTTCCGGTGATTTGGGACTAGTCACATTTTGGTGGTGTACATAAACAGGGGTCCGGGACAGGGAAAATTGTTGAATGCCCACATCTTTACCACACTTGATGCGCAAAAGCATATTTATTCACATGATGTGCTGCCATTCACGAGTTCTTGCGCGAAGGGGGAGGATGCAGGTGACAACCCGGCTCTTCGAATGAAGCGTTGTCGCATGGTGCCGAAGGCTAATGCTAAAGGGAGGCAAATGTTCACCTAGGTGTGAACTGGCCTTTATATTTCCACAACTATCGGCGTACCGTGGAGTCGGTGTGGGTCCAGCGGTCAAAATTTTAACCCTGTTCAACTGTCGAGCCTGGCTAGCCAAATTAGTTCCATTCTTTATAATCTAGCCCTAAAGCGAGTCTTGAGACATCCACCGGACGGGACACTCTGAGGGTATCCAACCCAGATCAAACCTGATGGCTATGACTGGTTGCAAAACGAGCACGGCAGGCGAGACACTGAAAATTCCTTGTTTACCGTTAAGATTAGATTTATAAGTCCACAATCGCTAACGGGAGTAACTTCGCCGCTCGCAAGCCGCTTCTCGACATTCTCAATTCGGATGACAATTACACCAATGTTCTGCCCGCGATCCCTCTTCCCGATCCTACACCAGATGGAGAGCTAGATCTTTCGATTGCAGGTTTGCAACATTACTTTTAATATTCTGTACCCACAATTAATCTTATTTCTAGCCTCCAATGACCCCCGGTCCTTTAATCCGATGGCTGCACCCCCAGCTCAGGGTGAACTCGGTGACTCCGAATTCGGTGAATAGGAACATCACGACTCATCAGAGAACCCGTCGGTCACCGTTCAAAGAATCGCCATGGCGGTTGCCTTCCCGGTGACCACTCGGGAAGTCCCGCCCGATCACCACGAGCAGCACCAGGCATTGTTCCCGGGCGCCTCTGTACCGGGTACCGGCAAATCCAAGTCCGCCTCGAAACGCTGCGCGCCGTGCGTCAAGAATTATTGCCCCAAACGGCATGACTGCATGGGTAAAGGGGCGCACAAATTTTGTCGCTGCAACCATCCTCCTCTGAAAGAGGGCGAGAAGGTGCGTATTCCTGAGGCGACGATCATTACATACTTGGCGCGACAAGCATAGAGCCAAATTGGATGCACATAGATATTCTCTATTATTCTTTTCTTGTCCTCGGTCCTCTGTTCTCCGTAATAGGTCCTAACCTAACCCTAACCTAACCCTAACCTAACCTAGCTTACATTAATTGATTAGATAACGTTGGCGAAGGTCACAAGTTCGAACCCAGCCAGTGGCACCATTTACTACCGAAATGGATACAGGTCACTGGACACTGTGGGATCACCAACACGTGACCTTGCTTACCAACGGCAGGGATTGCAACCCTGTGGATGATTTATAAGACTTGAAACCACTGGAAAACCCTTAAAGCACTCATCCCGTGGGAGAAATGAGATGGGATCAAGTTTCCAGAGAGGGGAAGGGTGTAAACCTGCCAGTTTACGACAGCCTCCCATGTCCTTATATAGGTGCGTGATTGATGTCAGTAATTTTAATACATGTATGAAGTTCGTCATTACCGCTCGGTCTCGTGGGGATTGAATCACCCGTGTCGTACTTGCACAGAGTCTGCGAGGCGCCACGGAATGCATTGGGGCCTTCAATCGCCCACGCGCAGGAGTCAGCCGCAAATACCGCGCGAGGCACGGACTCGTGCCTCACGAAGGACTTGCGGCTGCTGCGTGGGGCTAGCCGTGCACGGTAACGCATGTACCAGCCACTCGCCATCCAGCGTGTACCATATGCGTCACCCGTAACTGCGGGTCGCAATGAGGGTGGCGGCGCGCATGCACGAAGCGGGTGCACGCTGGTAGCGCGAACCACTGCCGCATGCGAGGAGTGTGCTGCGCCCGAGCGCGCGCCACCGGTGTGAAGCGCTGCGGTCCGCACGCAAGCAGGCGCACACCTGTAGCGCGAGCCGCTGCCGCTCGGGAGGGCGCGCACCGGGCACACCATGTGTTCGTCTGTGCCCGAGCGTGCGCCGGTGTGCCGCGTTGCCGGCGCAAAGCGCTGCGGTCCACGCGCAAGGAGGCGCATACACATAGCGCGAACCGCTACCGCGTGCGAGGCACTTGCGCGCGCCAGGACTGGGTGCGGAGCACTGCCATCAACGTCGCGCCAATCTTGCGCTGCGACGCCCCTGCCCACGCTGTTGTCGTCACCGCCGCTGCTGCTGCCGCCGCCGTCGCTGCCGCGCTTGTTGGCGCGTGTGGGCCGCGAGCGCAGATGTGTCTGCACAGCGTGCGCGCTCGCGATGTGCTCGTCAAAGCGCCGCAGAACGATTGAAAAATAAAAGTACTCACTGCTTCCGCTCAATGATCACTTCCGTTTTGTTGTAGTCGTATTTAGGACGTTGTTGGGACGCAAAAAAGCGTATCAAGTGGCGGGTTCGGGGAGCTTGAATGCGATGTGGCCAGATTTCTTGTACGAGACTCCCAGTCTTGCGGGGAAAAAAAGGAAGAACACGTGCCGAGTCCTGGGGTGGAGGAGCGAGCCGGAGTTGGGAAATGTTGGGAACGAGTCGATTGTGTGCCGGAGTGAGGCTGGAGCGAGGAGAGATGAGAAGCCGGAGCCGGACGCGAATAAGTAACTTAGCAGACGATGAGGCGCGTTGATGTCAAATCCGAATCGACGTGATCTGGCAACCGCGTGAGCTTTAGAAATATCTTGAAAACTATTGGCTGGGACGTAGGACTATATCCCCGGCTGACGTAGGTCTTGAAATCAATGATTGATGCCAAACTGCCAAACGTGGACACGTAGGATTTCAAGATTTCAAGATGTTGTATCTGGTATAGAACCCGCTGTAGTACATTTTGATTCCTGATTTCTCGCGGACAAGGGCTCATGGGTCTCTTGATTCTCTCTCTCTTTTCCCTTTTTTTCTCTCCTTTCTCAAACTTGAAAAACTTGAAAAAAACCCGCTCTCCACAGACATAGTACATGAGCCGGTTTATCCATAACCTTGGTTCGGTTGGGCACTTCGCTCGTAACCATACCTGAAAGAAATGCAACAAAGGAAGGGGGCCGCTGTGGATCAGGGTGGATCGTCCTCGGCCTATAATATCTATCTGCAAAGTTTGGCTTGAGGAAGGGTGGGTTCGACTCCCACCGGCAGCATGTGTTGTTCGAACCACATTTTTGCCTGGAGAGTTGGAATTCGTGCCATACTCGAGGCCTCACAAGCAGGGCATGGTCAAGTTCCTCGATTGAGAGGAAAGCTGCCGTGGATCAGGGTGGATCGTCCTCGCCCTATTCTGTCTATCTGCAAAGTTTAGATTGAGGAAGGGTGGGTTCGACTCCCACCGGCGGCATGGGTCATCTCATTGGAGTTTTTGCCTTGAGAATTTGAGGGAGATTTTGTTGGCGAGGGTCTGTGTTTGCTCGGTTGGAATATCAGTTGACATTTCCTCTTCGCTGTTTGGGGGTGGGCGATGCATATGTTGGTTGCGCTTCACTGTACTTCGCTTCTTCCTACCATCCTTACTTAACCCTGAGGGTAACACAGGAGAAAGCCGCTGTGGATCACGGCGGTCATCCTCAGTCCATGAAAAGGGGGAATCGTTACCTCCGAGGAAGGGTGGGTTCGACTCCCACCGGCGGCATGATTCCGAGCCCCACTCGATTTTTTTCACCTTGTCCCTCCATGGCCCTCTGCTAGTGAATCAGCTCAAGGAGGTAGTTGAACCGCTCCCCCAATCTTACGTTCTCCCACGTCCATCATTAGCCAGCCTACCGAATATTCCTTCCTCATGAGGGCTCACCGAACATGTGTTTGGTTTCTAGGGTAAAGCTGGTTCGCTGACCCTCTTTCTTCAAGGAGAGAATATGATTGAGTTCCTAAATTGAGAGGAACCCCGCCGTGAATTACGGTGGATCGTCTGCACTCCATTGGGAGATGGTATTGAAGCTCTCAGCAGGGGAAGAACTTAAAAGTGGGTTCGACTCCCACCGGCGGCATGCATATGGATCTGGTCTACACGAACTTTTTTGCGCGGTAAGGGTTTTTTGAGGGAGGGACGGATGAACACGGGGGTGCAGTGATTCTGAATAGTTGTGTGGTAAGTAAGTGTAGAGTGGATCAAGAGGCTGCATGCCGGTCTTGATGTGCGGTGCTACATTCATAAGATTGACTAAAGCAATGTTGAGAGACTCCGGCTTGTGAGTGAAATGAGACGTACATACCCACCCAAGTGCCCAGAATAGGGATGCCGCCGTGGATTAGTGGGAGATCGTCCTCGTTCAATGGGTCATTCACATATTTCCCTTAGGGAAGAGGTGGGTTCGATTCCCACCGGTGGCATACGTATGGAAACTTCTTTTACTTTCTCCCCATCCCTCCCTTTTCGCTTTCCTCCACCTATTATTGACTCCTACATCTTGCAGACCGATTGACTCGGCACGCTGACCGATATGTTTCATTCTCGGCAGCGTGCCGCCGATGACGTGACGCGCGTGACGCGTCTCCTGTGCATTGCATCCTCGCTGCTCGCCGTCACCGCCATGGACGACTCCAAGCCTTCCTCGACGTCGTCGGCCACGTCCTCGCCCGCCCTCTCCTCGCTGTCGCCCGCGTACCCCAGCCCCTCCCCGTCGCCGTCGCCGTCGCCCGCCATACCCTCGACACCGCCCGCCATCCCCTCGACGACCGTCACCGCACCGCCCCCCTCCTCCACGACCCCCTCAGGCTCCCCCACCGCCGCCGCCCTCGCCTCCGCCAACGCCGGCTTTGACGCTCTCTTCGCCAACCAGATCGGCCCCGCCCGCGCCGCCTTCGCCGCAGACAGCACGCCGTTCCACGTGCTGGGGCTCGGCGTGTGCGCGTTCCTCGAGGCCGCGCTGGGGATGGAAAGCGGGCTCATGGGCGAGGCCGCGCGCCTCCTCACCCTCTCCGAGGCGGGCGCAAGAAAGGCGGCGGCGGACGCCAAGAAAGCCCGCGCTGCCCTCAAAGGAGGAGGGAAGGACAAGGGGCAGGGTGACGGTGGCGGCCGGTTCGCGCCGGGCTTGGAGTGGGAGATCCTGGGCGCGGACGCGGTGGTGCTCCTCGGGCTGACGCACGCGCTGAGCGAGTCGTACATGGGCTACTTCCAGTGCATGTACGCCCTCAACGCCGCGCACGGCAAGTTTACGAAGCTGTACAAGCAAGTGTTCCCAAGGGGCTTGGAGGGATATCGCACGCCGAATTCCAGTAGCGTGCCGAGTGCGAGTGCGAGTACGAGCACCATCGCGCTCTCGGCACCCTCCACCCCCTCCTCCCCCACACACTCCCTCGCCCCCTCCGCCTCCGTGACCAAGTCCCTCTTCGGGCGCTGGGGCTCCAGTGCGAACAGCTCGGTGGTCTCGTTGTCCGCGTCCGCAGCGGCAGCAAAGGAGAAGGAGAAGGAGGAGCAGGAGAGGGAACTGGCGCGGCCCGCGGAAGGGCCCGTGGAGGAGATGATCGTCGCTGGGACTGCATTCGGTGTGTGCTCTCGACTGCGAGTGAACGAATGGCGCTAACGGCTGGTGTGTGGCACAGGATTCGGCCTCTTCAACCTTGTGTTCTCGCTTCTCCCGAAGAAGGTGCAGTGAGTCGCGCGTTTCTCTTCTCATCTTCTCCCTCTGCTGTTTCGTCCGCCCATTCCATTCCAATCCAACCCCCTTCCCGATCTTACTCTCCTTCCTCGTCCACTTCGATTCGATTCGATTCCATCCGGTCCAGCCATTCGCATCCCATCTGATTCGCCTCGCCCTCCCTTGCGTTCTATTCCATCGCATCCGTTCTATTCCATCACATCGCATTCACATCTTACTGCATTCACATCCTACTGCATCCGCATCCGCATCGCATTGCATCGTTCTGATTCTTACACCCCCATCCATCCCCTCTATCACCCACATCTTCCGTCCTTCCCGGTCCCTTTCTATTTCATCGCATTCACATTCGCATTCACGTTCACATCCCCTTCGCATCGCATCCCATCCCATTCGTATCCGCATCCACATCCCCACTCTCCTCACATCATTCCATCTCCCGCATTCCATTCGTCCCTTCTATCGTGTTCCCCTCTATCCCCTCTATCCTCCCACCGCTCTCTTGTGTATTGACCTCGTCATTTCTCACGTCATTCCACTTCGCTGAAGCGCGCGCTAACCCCCGCCCAGATCCCTCGTGGGCCTCCTCGGCTTCAAGCACGACCGCGCGCTCGCGCTGCAGGCCCTCGCGGTGCGTTCCTTTTCTCGTTCTTTCACTCCTTCTCTTGTTTCCTCGATTCCCTCCTCTTCCGCGATTTGCGACAGCTTTATTTGTTTCTTGCTTGGTGGTTAGATTCATTCCACTGGCGTTGACCCTCGATTCTCGATGATGCGGTGCGTGCGCGCCGGGTCTGTGCGCTGTGCACTCGGCGCTGCGCCTACCCGCGACTCGGCGGGCGCGCGCGCAGACTCGACGCATCTGTGTGCAGAGAAAAAAATCTGTGCTGCGGCTCGCTTTGTGCGCGGTCTGTGCTTGATCTATTTTGGGAACTTGGGCGGTCAGTTCGGGTGATTTCGGCTATTTCGGCGGTTTGGCCGATTCGGATCCTCTGCCGGGGGGCGCGGGGACCCTCTTCTGCGCGGGTGGGTGAAGCGGACGGGGCGATCATCGTGAAGTGGTCGTGCATGGGGCAGCGGCTCGACCCGTAGCTCGATGGGTTGGGACTCGATTTCGACTCGTTTGGTCGCCGGCGTTCATGCGGTCTGCGTGCGTTGTACGGTGTGCGGTGTGCGGTTTGCGGCGGAGACGACGCATGTGCGGTCTGCGGTCTGCGGTCTGCTCTGTGGATCGGTCTGTTCGGACCGAGTCGGGTCCATTTCGCGGATCGACCCTCTTCTGCGCGGGTGGAGTCGAATGGGGGCTCGGTGGAGTCGAGTCTGCGGCTGCTCTCGGGCCCCGCGTAGCGTTTGTGTCCAGCGTGATGCGTGGGCTGCGCGCTCACGCGATGGGACTCGTCGCATTTCCTGTTTCGACTTTGCTTCGAGTTGCGCGTTGGCGTTGATGGGCTTGGCACGGCGGCGCGCCCCGTCGGTCGTCGTCGGCGTTCGTCTTTCCTCATTCCTATTCTGCGTCTGCTTCTGCGTCTGCGCAGCGTGGATTCGTTCGGCATGCGTTTGTTTACTGGGTCTGGGTCGGTGATGTTGGTGTTGGGTTCTTGGCTATCTCTCTTTTGGCTGTGCCGTGGTTTTGGTTTTGGTCTTCGCGCCGCATTTCTACTCCCCGGTCTATAACTCATTTATCCACCGACACTGACTTATTTTACTTTTGTTTCGGCAGGTCAGCGCAGGCGTGACGACGCTCGGCGAGGGCGTGGGCGTGGGCGCATCGGGACGCGACGTGCATGGTGTGTTTGCGGGGTGCGTTTCTGCGTTGCCTTTCCACTCCCCGTTATCCCTCTCCTCTCGCTCGCCTTTGCCTGGCACTCATTTAAATTATTTTTTAGACTCGTCCTAATGACCTTCCACGGCGTCGTGCTCCTGCTCGCGGGGTACCAGGCGGACGAGGCGCGCACGCTGCGGACGTACCGCGCGATTGTGGATTCGTGAGTTGCTTTGTTTTGATTGATTGATTTTGGGTCGAGGTTGGGGAAGGAGAGAGATGCGGATGCGGGATGCGTCTGCTGGGTCCCGGCGGAAAATCGTCGAATCTTGCTGTGACGAGACCTTGACGCCGGGCGAGTGCAGGACGAAGGGTGGCGATTGATCGCTGATCGCTGACAATTATTTTGGTTGACAGAATCGAGGCGCGCTACCCGACAGGGGCGCTATGGATCCTGAATCGGGTGCGTCTGTTTGCTAGTTTTCAGATTTATTTTGACACCGCGGTGGCTCGCTCCCCTCCCCTACCTTCCATCCCTGTTCAATCTTCCCCTCCGCTTCGGCTACTCCGAGCACACTCCCGATCAGACATCCCCGGCGCTTCCGATAAACGCTCACTCCCTCCATCCCTTCGCGCTTATTATTCTACTTGACGTACGGACGAACGCTAACGCTGCCCCCACAGGCCAAGATCCTGCGCATGTCCAACGACGCGCAGGGCGCGATCGCGGTGCTGCAGCGCGCGCTCGAGGCGCCGCAGACGTTCGTGCAGGCGGATACGCTTGTGTGTCCCTTTTTTCCTTTTCGTAGGATGTATTTACTTATACGACTCCAGTTGGTCTTCGAGCTGGCGTGGACGCTGCTGGCGCAGCGCCGGCATCAGGAGGCGGCGGACGCGTTCGTGAGGCTTACGGAGCTTAATTCGTGGTGCGTCCCCTTCCTCCTCCTCTCCTCCCCCGCCTCTTCGTAGCGCACGAATGCTGAGGTGGTTCTTGTTGTGTTTGATGCAGGTCGCACGCGACGTACTACTTCATCGCGGCGGGGTGCTACGTGTCGATGGGGAACCGCGCGAAGGCGCAGGAGCTGCTCGACGCGCTGCCGGAGCTGCTTTCGCGGAAGAAGATGGGGGGGAAGGATTTGCCGACGGAGGTGCTTATTCGGAAGAAGTGTGAGTCCTCCGGGTTCTTGACTTTTTTTTTTTGCTGGGATGGTGAGACTGACGGACGGGGGTCGACAGTGGAGTTCTACAAGGAGAAGCAGAAGAGACGTGGCGGGGATCCGGCAAAGTTTGTGGAGTCTGTTAGTATTAGTCCCGCGGATGGTGCGTTTCTCATTCACTCCGTGTTGTGGGTCCGTCGTTGATTATTACTATTTTATTTTCGGGTAGAGCTGGCGATCTGTGAGTTGCCCGCCTCTCCTTTATTTCTGTGCCTGCTGAGATCGGGGAAATACAGTCTGGAACACACATCAGCGCATCGACGACCACGTTGCGGAGGCGCACATCGCGGAGCTGGCGGTCCTCACGCCGCCCGTGGCGCTCGCCGTCCACAGCCCGTTCCTCCCTGCCGTCGACGAGAAGCACGCGGTGTCTACGCTGGTGCGTTCACCCCCTTCCATACTCGTTTGATACATACATACCCACGACTGACCGCTTGCAGCCCACCCACGACCTCGACACGCCGGACGAAAGCGCGCTGCGCGCGCTCCTGCTCGGCATCATGCACCGCACTTTGCGCCTCTACGGGCCCGCGCGCGCCTTGCTCGAGGCCGCGCGCGGCGCGCAGGGCGTCAAGGTCAGCACGTGGATCGCGGGCGTCGCGCTGTTTGAGCTGGCGGTCACGGATCTCAAGGAGGCGCAAGCGACGCTCAAGAGTGAGGATAGGGCGGGGTGGGTGGGGGTCCTGGCGGGGGCGGACGCGAAGCTGGATGGGGCGCTGGGGATTGCGGGGAAGAGCGATATTGATCTGTCATCGA